AAAAATGAGAATAATAATAAAAATGTGAATAATAATAAAAATGTGAACATAATAAAAATGTGAACATAATAAAAATGTGAATAATAATAAAAATGTGAATAACAGCGCCCCCTCCAGGCGGCGGGAGCTAACTAGCCGGTGGCTATCTGTTAGCCGTTAGCTGTCCTGCAGACACGTCCTCCACTTGAGACACATGTTGAAGTTGCCATGGAAGAAATGTTAGCCCCGGACAGGAATATCCGCGGCTGGCCCACCTGTACACACTAAGGTAAGAACAGGATAAATGCCTAACCAAGCTGAAGGGTGCCATCCATCGTGCCTCTACTTTAGTTAGCTTTTAAAGAAAGTTTTTTAAACGTTTCGCAGCAGCTCGTGCTAGCTGCTTAGCTAGCCAGGTCAGCAGCTGCCTCTGTTTTAGTTCAAATAAAAAGGACAACTCCTCAGCTGGAGGCTTTCTACCAGGCGTCTGATTGATTAATTGATTAATTTCCCTGTCCAAGCAGTGACCTGGAGGCAGTGAAGAGCTGTCACTGATCACATGATGTCCTCAGGCTCGAGTTTTTATTGTTTCATGGAAACTGGTCAAACTTTGACTTGTACTGGTTTCAAGTGTCACTGCTTGGTGTGGTTCATCACCAGAGCTCCAGCTCTGCTCCTCTGCGTCCAGTTCTACTCAGACATGAACAGCGCGTGGAAGAATGTGGACAGCCAGCTGTCACGCACACGCACAGGCACACGCTTCTACAATTCAGTTCAGTTTATTTCTATACTGTAACAACAAGCCACATGACAAGTTGTCTCAGTTCAGAAGGTACGCTGTTCACTTTGTCTCCTGGAGGACTGTGGGACAGGTTACAGGAGGATGTTGGTCCTTGGAGGACTGTGGGACAGGTTACAGGTCGCTGTTGGTCCCTGGAGGACTGTGGGACAGGTTACAGGACGCTGTTGGTTCCTGAAGGATTGTGGGACAGGTTACAGGAGGATGTTGGTCCCTGGAGGACAGTGGGACA